AATAAAATAAAATAAAAATCACCTATAGGCTAACAACTCCAGTCGTGACCTCTCCCCTCAACACCAGACTTGTATATCCAATGATCACCTGATTTTCCCATTTGGCTGTCTTAAGAGGTTATCTCAAACTTACGATGTCAAAAACCAAACTCTTGATTTTACTCCCCTTCCCGTCTTCCTCATCTTAGTAATGGCAACTTTTATCCTTCTAGTTGCTCAAGCAAAAGTCAGAGTCATCTCTGGTAACCCTGTCACACCCCACATCTCAGTCCTACTTTCAAAATATTTCCATAATCCAACTACTTCTGCCTCTACCATTACCACTGATTCAAACCAACATCAATTCTCACCTAGATTCAGTAGCCTAAGTGGTCTGTTTGCTTTCACCCTTGCCCCACTAGTGTTTTCAAGAGAGCAACCAGAGCTATTAATTTAGTAAGTTAGAACTTGTCTCTTGTCAACTCAAAATTTTCCAGAATGGGTTCCCCTCTTACACAGTGGAAACCAAAGTCCTTACAATCACCTAAGGCCTGATGCACTGGCCCATTCCTATCTTTCCGGCATCACATATTTCTCTCCCCCAAACACTCCATGCCAGCCACACTACCTTCTTAGCAGTTCCTCAGAAAGGTCAAGCATTCCTACTCTGTAGTCTTTGCACTTGCTATTACCCTCTCCCTGGAATATTCCAGAGATCCATAGCACTTGTTCAAATTTGTCAATATATCACTTTACCAGAGGCTGTTCCTGGCCACCCTATATAAAATAAATTCCTTCATTTTTCTCTATAGCACTTAGATATATATTTACTTATATCCCACCCCTCTCCACCATATGATATAACCCCTTGAGGGCAGGGACTGTTTTGTTCACTGCAATATCTATCCCCAGTGCCTGAACAAAGTCAGAAAAAAAGGAGATTGTCAATAAAGAGTTAAACACTGAATCAAATTTGTTGGGAACTTTATTAAATGCAAATCAAGTAAGGTAAATTAATGTACTTTCAGTCCAGAGAAAATGTTACAAAGAGAATTATGGAAGAAACAGAAGGCATCATGGTACATCCCAACCAGGAGCCTGCAGTTATAGCTGGGCAAGGAACAATTGCGCTAGAAGTGCTGAACCAGGTAAAACAGCCTAGTTCTTCCTATTTAGCTACTGGTAAAGCTGTTTGGCTCTAGATTTAATTATTTTATATGTACATATAAAACTGCTTATTGATAGGCCTATTTACACTTTATATTCTTTTCACTAAAGGTTCCCTTGGTGGATGCACTGGTGGTACCTGTAGGGGGAGGAGGAATGGTTGCTGGAATAGCAATTACAGTTAAGGTGAGAAAACAGCTCCTGGAGGACTCTCTGCTTCAGAGGATTTATTTTACATCATAGTGCATTGTGGATACTTGTTCAGCATTCACCCCAGAGTATCATTCCTTCCTTCCCCTTATCCCCTGGCACTGCCTCACTATTTTCTCCTTAATCCATGACAACTTTATAGAACAAAAGCAGTTACAATGATTGACACTTTCACAGTCCTGTCCCTGAATTCCATCTCTCCAATCTACTATCCACACCAGGGGCTACCCTTTTCCCAAATAACCAGTAGGCCCAGATGTGATCCAGGGAACTGAAGGCCAGTATTAGACATACAGTTTATTTATAAAGTGCTCTAAGGTCATATTTTCATTACATCCACCAAGGAAAGGCTTTTACTTGGGCAGAAGTGTATTACCTGTTCTGCCTATTTTATTTTAGACATGCAGGCAACACTGTGGCTTGTTTTAAGGTGTCTTAATATTCCTCTTCCCAGGCTCTGAGACCTAGTGTAAAGGTATATGCTGCTGAACCCTTGAATGCAGATGACTGCTACCAATCCAAACTGAAAGGGGAACTGATCCCCAACCCATATCCTCCAGAAACCATAGCAGATGGTGTCAAATCCAGCATTGGCTTTAACACCTGGCCTATTATAAGGGACCTTGTAGATGATGTCTTCACTGTCACAGAAGATGAAATTAAGGTAAGGCTCCGATGGGAAAAGAAATAACAAAAGAATGGTACAACTCCTTAGGCAAAAGAATATTCTGTTATGAGTAGCAACTGACCCCTTGGCTAAGTGACTTCATGACATGTGGGAGCATATCCTAGATGTATCAGGACAACCCTCTTGCCAGAAGAAGCAGAGTTAGGATGAAAGAAAAGCCTTGGCAGGCACACATACGTAGCAATAAGAAAATTCAAACTGGGTGTATCCTCTTCTGGCCTTTATAATTAAACCACTCAACTCCCCTTCTCCCATTTCACTAATTCTCATTCCCCTCTGTACCAACAGTATGCAACCCAGCTGGTGTGGGAGAGGATGAAACTACTCATTGAACCTACAGCTGGTGTTGGAGTAGCTGCTGTGCTGTCTAAGCATTTTCAAACAGTATCCCCAGACGTAAAGAACATTTGTATTGTCCTGAGTGGTGGAAATGTAGACTTAACCTCCCTAACTTGGGTAAAGCAGGCTGAAAACCCAGCTCCTTTCCCATCTGTTTCTGTTTAATTATGCAAAAGGAAAAGATTCAATGTCTATAGATACTTGAACATTTTGTTTCCTTGTCATTGTCAACATTCCATCTTTCCCTCTTAAAAGTTTTCAAATGTTTAATGGGATATTTCAGTTAAGATTTAATAGTTTTTTTCGGCCGGGCGCAGTGGTTCATGCCTGTAATCCTAGAACTCTGGGAGGCCAAAGTGGGTGGATTGTTTGAGCTCAGGAGTTCGAGACCAGCCTGAGCAAGAGCAAGACCCTGTCTCTACTAAAAATAGAAAGAAATTAATTGGACAACTAAAAATATATAGAAAAAATTAGCCGGGCATGGTGGCGCATGCCTGTAGTCCCAGCTACTCGGGAGGCTGAGGCAGTAGGATCACTTGAGCCCAGGAGTTTGAGGTTGCTGTGAGCTGATGCCACGGCACTCTAGCCCGAGCAACAGAGTGACACTCTGTCTAAAAAAAAAAAAAAAAAAATTTAATAGTTTGTTGGACTAAGCAGTAGAAAAACTTCTGTACTTCACTGAGACATAGTGTCAAGGCCAAGCAAAGTCTTTTTGCAAATGGGGCAGCAGACTGATGCTGAAGTAGAAAACAAACTTTGCCCAATCACAGCCTGTAGGCTCCCATCCCTAGAATGCTAACTGGCACCAGCAAGACAGAATTTTTTAAAATCTATCACTCCATACCCACTTCAGGCACTATTGAAGAAATCTCACTTTTCACCCAAGGTACTGGTTCTGGTACATATGGATCATAAGTCCATTTGGGGAAAACTCGTTTATAGAGGTTCATCAGTACTGTGTCCTGAGATTTTAGCTTCCCATCAAAGCTGCACTTCATGTGGCCATGGGTACCTAGAAAGAAAACAGAGCAAGTTGGTCAAATTAAAAGTAGAAAATTTTAAAGCAGTGACTTCCAACCCAATAGTCATTTAGTTAACACTGAGAAATCTAGACAAGGTCCCAAATCCCACACTCTCTTACCTAAAGGCTCCTTGATGTGTCCTCTGCGGCCCCACTTTGTTCTCAGTTCCACTGGTTTAAACCACAGCACATCCTCTTAGAATAGAACACGTTAAAGACCAAAATGAAACATTTACCCACAAAATGTAAACCCAATCTTCAGACCACAAAGGCAATCAGATCCCATTTTCCTTCTTCATACCTACCTCTGCTGAAGAACATGTAACGTACCACTGCCATCTTAGTAAAAATTTTGAAAGGATGACCACTCAGAACAACTCTCTTGATGACCATTCTATCCGGATCCACTGACAACAGATGGCCTGTAGCAATGAGGCTGTGCATTCCTAAGGGGCAAAAGCAGAGCAGGAGTCTGTTCAGGAGTCAATAGGCCAAAGCCTTCATTTATTGCTCCAGTCCATTTAAAGACCTATGCAAGATTTTCTTGGAAAAACCTTAAAGCAACATTACACTATGCTACCCTCCTGGGTCCATGGCAAAGATCACTAAATGCTGTTCCTGCTAAGCCTGTCCCTAGAACCTATCCTAAATATAGGACTCGGAGCAGCTTGTACTGATTAGCTAAGGTTTTGCAAGCAAGCTAAAACCCAGTTTGTCACCCCTGCCCTAGACCCACTGTGACACTGAGATTGATAAACAGTAAGTCTTCAACCTCGTCAATAAGTTCTTTGAAACTTCAACTTTAAGCGAAACGACATATAACAAAACCAATGTTTTTCCTCTTCAACATTATAAAGAAAGGACGTTGACATTAACTGAGGGCCTCCTGTATGTCATTTTGCTTAAAGTCGAAGTTTTCAAGAAACTGTTGATGAGGTTAAGTGAAGACTTACTATATTCTGAAAACCATCATTACCTTCTCTGTACCATTTGGCTCCCAAATCTAAATACAGAAGAGACAACAATGTTAATCCTATAAGGACCTACAGGCCTGTTCACCTCTCTGAACTCAACTTACCATTGCTTTTCTGCTTGAAAAGCAGCACAGATGCAGGAGGAAAAGTGATTGGCGCATATACTGTCACCACCAGGGCCACATCAGCAGTCAGGAACCTCTGAAATTTATGTTTGTCCGCTGTCAAAACAAGGGTTAAAAAATAAAAACCAAAAACATTTTGAAAAACCGTACATAATCCAGAGGTCTATAAAAGGCTACTATTGCAACTCCTAAACCTAAAGCAGCTTGCATTTCTCTACCCCATTAGTTCTCAAAAATTTTTCCTGTCTCAATACAAATAAAGATAATGACCTACTCCTAACCAGTAACTTTTTATCTGAAGGCAGAATCTTGGAGCTTGGAAACTAAATTTGGGGTTTGAAAAAGTTCTCCAAGTGATTCTGATGCCCACCACCTCTACCTCATTTGAAAATTAGTGCATTATAGAGAATAACTTTGCTCAATCAACAGCTCTTAGTCTTGAGCACGAATTGTCAAACATTTTCTGTAAAGGGCCAAATAGTCAATACTTTAGGCTTTGCACCCATACAGTTTCTGTCCCAACTACTCAACTGTGCTACTTTAACATAAAAGCAGCCATAGACAATACATCAGCAATCCCCAATCTTTTGGCACCAGGGACTGGTTTCATGGAAGACAATTTTTCCACGGACACAGGGGAGGGGAACTCAGGCAGTGATACAAGCGATGGGGAACAGAGCAGCTATAAATACAAATGAAGCTTTGCTTGCTGGTCCACCCGGCACTCACCTCCTGCCCTGCAACACCCCCCCTCCACCTTCCTAAGTTTTACAGAAGACAATTTTTCCGGCAGGGGGTGTGGGGGGTGGTTTGGGGGCCGTGGGAGGAGGGGAGCAACCTCAGGCAGTGATGCACAGCCTGGTACCGGGCCATGGCCTGGGGGTTGAGAATCACAACAGTACATTTTAAAAAAAAAAAAAGAAAAACCTCCAATAACTCTGTTTATAAAAACAAGCAGTAGGGACAGATTTGGCCCAAAGGTCATAGTTTCCTAACCCTTGATCTTGAAGACTACCTTGAGCTTCTACTTGTACCTTCAATGTAACCTTCACCCCTTTTTTTAAACACTAAAATTATAGGAAAATAAAATATTTTAAGGGAAAGAAAAATTAATCATTCGTTTAGTCACCATGGTTTGTGAGAATAAAAATTATCCAGAACACCATTAATACTACCTTCATCATCTTCCTTCTGCCATTGCTGAAAGCTGAGTGAGCTGAGATGATGCTCAGAAGCCCCCACGTTAGTGGGCAACACATCTTCCTACTCCTAATGTGTAAGAGTACAATCATTTTTGCCACAGAAGTGTCCCTAGTCATCATTCTCCAAACTCTCATCCTGTCTCTCAACATTTCAGAACCCATACCTCTCTGCTTTACCCAACTATGGGCGACATCCAACTCCATCCCTTCACCCACAGTGCCCTGGGCACACTACACACCAAGATTTCCACACCTGAAAATACACACCCGTTTTATAAAGCAGCCAACTCCTATTCAAAACCTACTCTGACACAAATACTCACGGCAGAAAAGCCTCAGCACCATACAGAGGCTGCATCACTGGGATGCTTCAGACAGGTTCAGACATTTGGAATAAAAACATCATTGACTCCTAAGCCTGAGTATTGAAAATACTTCTAACCCAGAGATCTAAGAGTCTGAAACTGTGTATTCTGCACCCCTCCCCCAAAGTCACAGTTCCTAAAAGACAGTAAGATGGACAAAAACCCAGAAGCTTCCCCACTGCTAACCTGCAGTGTGCTGAGAGAATAAAGGTGAGGCTCGGAAGCGCCTGAATCCACAGTGGAAAATCAGCTCCTCTTTGGCTTTCACAGGTTCAATGTTGCCAGGGTCCCGTCTCACCACCATATTCAAAACTGACATCTGAGGATCAAGTAAAGAAAAAAAAACTTTGTAGTTTAGGAATACAACAGCCTAACCTGAAAGAAGACAAACCAAACTAGCAGATTCTAAGAACTGACAAGGTTAATTAGCGGTGAACTGCAGATGATGGAACACAGATTCATCTTTTACCTCTACTACCAGCTGTCACTCCAGCCAAACTTAGGCTGATCAGAGGTCTCATGCACCCCTCTGTGCTAGCTTACCTTCTCACATCTAACATAAAAGAGCTCAACATCTGCTACAAAAATCAGTGGCCTTGAAGTCATTCACTCACCACACACCTCAAAACCATATCGATTCAAACCCCTTCTTCTTCAATCCTTACCCACACTGACCCAAAGACCTGTCACATACTCCTCAATGTACATGACTGTTGGCCACCAAGAGAAAAGAAATCTGCACCTTGGCATAGACTTTTTTTTTTTTCAGACAGAGTCTCACTCTGTTGCCCGGGCTAGAGTGCCATGGCATCAGCCTAGCTCACAGCAACCTCAAACTCCTGGGCTCAAGCGATCCTTCTGCCTCATCCTCCCAAGTAGCTGGGACTACAGGCATGCGCCACCATGCCCGGCTAATTTTTTCTATATTTTTAGTTGTCCAGCTAATTTCTTTCTATTTTTAGTAGAGACGGGGTCTTGCTCTTGCTCAGGCTGGTCTCGAACTCCTGAGCTCGAACGATCCGCCCGCCTCTGCCTCCCAGGGTGTTGCCCGGCCCTAGTTTTAAGGCTGCCAACCCTTGTTCAATATCTCATCTGAAAAACAAACTTAGAGAAGTCTCAGAAACACACGGGGATTGCATCACTGAGATGCTTCAGACAGGTTCAGACATTTTGGGTAACCATCGTTGACTTCTCTATTATTGTGATTCCTAATTATAAAGGCAGAATTTTCACATCCCAAAGAGCAAAATATCAGTCACATAAACAGAATTTTAAGACTTTCAAGACAGAATGAATGGGTTGGAAAGTTTTTTAACTTCCCATTTCCCACAAGACAATAATTCACCTTCTGTTCATGAGGTAGTAAAGAAAATGCAATCAAGGGTGCTCCTTGCCTGAAGTATTCAACCACTGAGACTGGGACTTCAGAGATATGAAGTGTGACATACCAGCCAACCTGCCATGAGAAAGCAGAAAACAATCATGAGGTTACCCTTCAAAGTCCCAATAATGATGAGGCATTTCTCCAATGCTAAAAGTGTTAAAAGTCTCTCAGATTACCTTTTTAAAGCCAACCCTTGCCCTTTAAGATGCTTCAAGTACCCATATTC